GTGAACAAACTCTTAGCAATTTTAGGAAATTGTACTGTTGTTCAATATTGACCTCATATAAATGGGATCATTACGATTAACTGGCTTAATTTAGGGAGTCCCCATGATTCTTTGCAGAACAGCTTAAACAGACATTTGTTTCTCTTTTTTTCTCCCCAGTTTTATAGTTTCTTATTCCCTGTTAGCAATGGAAATTGGGTTCATAAAACACTGATGCAGATTTCATCTCTACATTGATATGTGGGCGACTCCTCAGAACCGCCCAACTCATCCGAAGTAATGTATAAATAAGGGAATATACCCCTATCTACTTTGATGCTTTTTTGTCTGGGCATTAGCTCCCCCACTATTAACGTGTCTGAACTTAGAAGTTCCTGAATGTAAAGCAATTGGCCAGTGGCTTAAAAACTCTTTAGTAAGTGAGGGCACAAAGTGATCCACGCACGCCGGGGGGATTATGGAGACAGGCAGCGTATGTTCTCTGCCGCCCAGAAATACGCCCCAAGGGATGACACGATGTCTTCACTGAACCTTGTCCTTAGACTCACCATGTGTCTTGCCCACGCCCGCATGCTTCGAGAGGGAGCGGGTCCTCATTACCGTTTGCCAGGACAGATGAGCACAAGCCTGACTCGCCTCGCCTCAGCTGTCTTTATTCACAACACTTCTGACACCAAGTGTGTGGCCTTGGCCACGCCAACAGCCCCCGATTGTCCGTGGCCAAGGGGAGGTCTGCAGGTCAGTTCTGACACGAACTACCTGGGTTACTCAGACTGTACCAGTTTCGGGGCTCGGCCTCAGAAGACTGTTCCCAATTAAAACATCAGTCACAAGTACTGGGGGCCACGCGGACCCACATTCTGTCTGATGTGGCTACAAAGTTGGGGCTTCTTGCAGTCCCTCCCTTTCAGGTTTGATAATCTGTGAGATCAGCTCACAGAACCCAGGAAGGCACAGTACTTGGAAGTACTAGTTTATTCTAAGGGAGAGGAATGAAGAGCCAGAGGAACGGGTACAAGGGGGGACTTCAGGGAGCTCTGTGCCTGTGGAGCTGGGGTGTGCCGCCCTCTCCGCATAGGGATGTGCTCATGGACCCAGAAGCTCTCTGAACCCTGCGGGTTATGAGACATTTTTGAACTTAGTCCTGATTGATTAAATCCTTGGCCTTTGGTGATGAACTCCATCTCTGGCTCCTCTCCCATCCCTGCAGGGCAGGGATGGGGCTGAAAGTTCTAATCCTTTATTCCTATCTGGATCTCTCAGGAGGCCAGCCCCATCCTAGGCTCCCCAGGGCCCAGCCTCCAGTCACCCGTTAGCATACAAAAGACATTCCTTCAACTTTTACATTCTTACCTGTAATTTCCAGGGTTTTAGGAGCCACTAGCCAGGAACCAGGGACAAAGACCTATATACTAACTTTTTACTCTGTCACACCTCTCGTAGCTCTGGACCTAAAAATCCTGGCTTCAGATTTTTCCCAGAGCAGCAGTTCTCAGTGTGTGGTCCCCGCACCAGCAACCCCTGGGCATTGGCCAGCATCCTCGGGCCCCACCCCAGACCCACTGAATCAGAAACTCTGGAGGTGGATGCCTCTTTCTGCGTTTTAACAAATAAGACAGTTCTGATGCCTGCTCCAGACCCAGAGCCGTTGGCCAGGGGGATTCAGAGGAGGGCGTATTTGGGTCTCATTTAAAGGGATGAGAAGAAATCAGGCAGGCATGCCGAGGGGATGGCCCTGGAGGACAAGACAGAATCGGAGGAGCGGGGACGTCAGCACCAGCGAGGCTGGAAGGAAAGGGCTAGGAAGCCTCGAGTTTAAAACAAGAAAAATAGGCATTTAATCTGTGAGTGGCATGAGTGTGTGTGTGTGTGTGTTTCAGAGGAAATGTTTTTGCTCTCAGTTTGACATTTGGACTTGGGAGGAGGAATACCTGGAGGAAGGCATGGGTTCGGGGCTACAAGACCGACCCCGTTGACCCCACGGGAGACCCCAGACCACAGACCTCAGGGCAGGTGGGGTCTCGGGCAGCCTGCTTTACGAGGATGTGTCTGTATCTGTGTTTTTGTTAGACAGTGTGGTCTGTGTGTCCAGCAGGCAGCCAGGAGACCTTAGGCCAGAGTTGAAAGGGAGTCTGACCCACCCCAGGAAAGCACTTAACAGGAAAATGGAAGAGGATGAAGCCCAGCTTCTCCCTCCCTGAGGGGGTACAGCCCTGCAAGGGCTTGAGTAGAAGAGCGGCCTGCATCTGCGTGTCTGCGTCGGTCCCGTGTGGGCCATAGTGACAGGCCGCACAGCTGGCTGTCCCTGTCTGGAGGACGTCGTGGGACGGTGTGGGACACACTTGCTTTCCAGGTGGAGTCAAGAGGAAGGCCTCCTGGGTTTACTGAGCGCTGCGTCTGGAAGCCTTACGTATGCGCTGTGCCGGGTGGGCGACTCCTGCGTCTTGCTCAGAACACATGGAATCGGAGCTGTCACCATACTCATCCCACTCGAATGTCCCACACGGGTCACCAGGCCCAACACAAGCAGGGGGAGGGGCAGAGGGAGAAGCAGACTCCCCGCTGAGCAGGGAGCCCAACGCGAGGCCCCATCCCAGGACGCTGGGACCGTGACCTGAGCCGAAGGCAGACGCTTAACAACTGAGTCACCCAGGCGTCTCCTAAATCTGTATTTTAGAACAAGTGTTGGGGCTGAGATGCTACCATTTTTATTACCATTCTGTCGCCTCCTGGGGTTAAGGCTCATCTTCAATGAACTTGACCTTCTTTGGTGTTTAAGGGCATTCATTTTGTGTGATTTAAACCTTGCTCTTTAATAGAAATACTCTTTAGGATTATCCATATGTATAAGTAAATTTTCTCAAACTTCTGCAGAAGTATTTCATGATCATTATCAAAGTCTTTTTTTTTTTTTTTTAAGATTTTGTTTATTTATTTGACAGAGAGAGACAGCTAGAGAGGGAACAAAAGGAGGGGGAGAGAGAGAGAAGCAAGCTCCCGGCTGAGCAGGTAGCCTGATGCAGGGCTTGACCCCAGGAATCTGTGATCATGACCTGAGCCAAGGGCAGACGCTTAATGACTGAACCACCCAGGGGCCCCTCAAAATTTTTTTTTTTTTCCAGAGAGAGAGAAGGAGTGTGGGGTGGAGGGGCAGAGGGGGAGGTAGAGAGAGAATCTTAAGCAAAGTCCATGTCCAGTGCAGAGCCCAATGTGGGGCTCTATTCCAAACCCAGAGATCATGACCTGAGCCAAAATCAAGAGTTGGACGCTTAACTGACTGAGCCACCCAGGTGTCCCTCAGTCATTTTTAATAAGCTGTTTCTCATCAGATTCCATTGAAATTGGGCAGAAATAATTGCAAAATTTACATTAGGGAGCATAAAATAAAAACTACACAGCTTGGTTAAAAATATAATTACGTTACATCAGCAGAGAACTGAAAAATTTTACAAAACTGCCAAGATCCTAACTACGATTTCCTTGTCCTTCATCAGCACCCACTGAGCTTAACCCCTCGGAGTGGGCAGTTTGGGGTCAGACACATGAACTTCCATGGTGATTTCCTGTTGGAACCAGGGAGGACTCTCCTCTTCTGACTGCTTAAGAAAACCAATTTCCTAGAGAATGTAACATTCCCCATCTAAGGCATTGACTTGTCTTATTCCTTCTGACCAAGTTTAGCCACACTGTCCAATGTGTATTTTAGAGACTTCTAGTTTTCCTTGAGTAAAGAAGGATTTGTCTTCACATGGACCCTAGTGTTAGAGATGGTTGTGCCTGGCATCTACAATCTACTTGGTCTGTCTCTTGCTCTGAACATCTGCCCGGCGGGGGAATCCAGTTGGATATAGGGGATGCTGAGTTGTGCCCGGGCTTGGGCTGCAGACACGGGGGACAGAGGGGCCACACGAGCAGCAGGACTTCATCAGGCTTTCCAAGGGCAGCAGTGAAATCATTTGTAGATCTTAGTATATTTTAATTGTGTTCATTTTAAAGCAGTACCAGTTGGGTTCTTTTTCTTTATTTTTTTCTCCATCGGATGAATTCTTTAATACCGTCCTTCAAAATGTGTATCTAGTTAGAGTCCCCTTAGTATTGTGGTAAAATATACATGACAGAATGTTTCTCAGAACTGTTAAGTCCATTCACACTGTTGTGCAAACATCCCCACCATCCACCTCCAGATCTTGATCATCTTCCCAGACTGAAAGCCTATGCCCATGGAATAGTGACTCACCAATCCCCCTCCTCCCAGCCCTGGGCAAACCAACATCTTACTTTCTGCCTCTCTGGCTTTGACTATTCTAGGAACTTCATGTAAAGAATAGTACTTTTTTTGGTAAATTTAATGAATTGAAATACTGAACAAATTTGGACATGTTTGCAAAGCTGTAAACAGCACTGGGGATATGAATAGGGGCTGAGGATTGAACCCACTTTCATTTCTACCATTTCCACTGACCTCATTCAATAGGACAGCTAAGTCATTATTGTGAAAAGGCCTCCGTTCAGTTTATAACCATGGCAAAATTTAACTCTGGAATCTCTGGTGACAAACTGCTTTATGTTTTTTTTGTCTGTATCTCTTTCTGGCTTATTATCGATTGCTTCCTATTGTGACTTATCAAGTGGAAATCAGGCATATTATGTTTCTTTTGAGAAGTGGGTGATGTTCCCAACTCCAGAAACAATAGGAAAGAATGATGTGTCATCAAATGTATGTTGGCACCAATTACAAGACAAAGGCACATGTTGACTTTAAAGATGCGAAGATACAGGAGAGAAGTACAGGTAACTTAGAATTGATGAAATTCCCTGATAAAAATCACAAAGACAGATCAGAAAAGAACCAGTATGCCAAGAGTTGGCCAACTGGTCATTAGCATAAAGACTTGCCAATGTGGTAAATCCTTTTTAAAAAGGGATTTCATTGCTCTTCCTCTGCCTTTCCCCATGGGGCACATTTCTGAGACTATTATACGTTGCACCCTTTCCTGCAGGGCAGATGACCACGAGGGCGGGCTGCTACCGAGACCTGAGGTTTCAAGTCAACACATCGTTCTGTAATCCCAGCACCAGACCTGTCACGGGGGTGGTGTCTTGCAAAGTATCTGCCTGTCCTCCCAGGTAAGAGCTGCTGCGTTCATCCAGACAGGGGTCATAGTTTTGCAAATATACTCGGTGAGTCTTGGGAGCTCCAGAGTCTAGAGAAGGGAAGAGCTGATTGTTGTCATGTAATCGGGGATGAGGAAGAAGCAAGAGTAACCAGAAGTGCCTGAACAGGTATGTTTGGAATATCTTGTGAACGTAAGTGCAAGTTCTCCTAACGGCATCCTATTTGCTGTATTTTCACCGTAATCACCGCCGGCTGGCAGGGGTGATAACATACCGTGGTGACAGTAACGTTTTCCCTCTCAGCCTCCAGTTCGTTCCGTTCTGGTTTATTTGCCTACTGAGTGAAATGTGTCAGAAGGATGCATTCATAGGCCTGCCAGGTGAGGCAGGGCGTGTGGATCGCTGCAGCACGCACATGCACACACACGCACACGCACGCACACACGCGCACATGCACACACATGTGCACACACACATGTGCACACGCACGCACACGCACGCACATGCACACACGCACACACGCACACATGCACACACACATGCACTCACGCACACACGCACACATGCACGTGCACACACGGTCACGCAATGCACACATGCACACACACAATGCACACACGTGCATGCAATGCACACATGCACATATGCACGTGCACACACACATGCACACGTGTGCGCACGCACACGCATACACACGTGCACACGCGCACGTGTGAGACTGAGCGAAGGAAGCCGGGGCCCTGGCATCCCGTTCTGCCCGCGGTGCTGCCACCCCGAGATAGTTCTCAGGAAAGCGCAGGTGCCCGGAGTCGGTGGGCTGGGCCGGCCCTGCTCCCAGCTGTGCCGGCCCAGGCATGCCCTTCCCGTCTCTGTGCTCAGTGGCTTCATCTTCACGGGGGCCACGGCCCAGAGGGATTGTGAGAATCATGTGAGTAACATATTTACGGAATGAAAGTCTGACTCCAGATTCTTCAGACAGCCGACGCACTAAAAACAGTACAAGATAATCTCAAACTGCTTGATTTTTAAAGATCCACGGTAGCTGGCGAGCTGATTCCAGGTTTGTGGAAATGTGCCTCAGCAGCGTGATGCTTTCCTGGGAGACAGGAAGACACAGGAGGGAGAGGCCCCATGTCTCCCTTCATCTCTGAGCTGTTGGGTCCCTGGTCACTGGCTCAGGATAGAGATGGAGGCCACTTACCCGCATCTGAGAGGTCAGGACCGTTCCTTCCACCACGGTGAGGGGGGTCCTCCCTGGGGACATCCTGTCCTCCAGTCTCCCTGCTCCCTCAGGGGCTGGGGACCCACCACCTCACAAAGCCACCTGCCCTGCCCCAGTCTGGGCTCCTCAGCCAGCTCGCCCCACGGCCTGCTGTTGAGAGGTATGCCAGTCGAAACTGACATGAGGACTTTGGTGCTGGAGGCCCATCACCCACCAGTGCATGGGTGCCGACCTGGGGATCCTTTCTGGGGCTGGACAGGCTCTTGTAATGGCCACACTCCTTGATCCCCTCGTCATATCCCTCCGTGGGAACTCCGCGGGCCCATGCGCCTTGTGGGCTGTGCTGAGCTGGACAGCGAGAACACAGGCCACCGCAAGGCTTCTCCAGGGTCCGAAGCGACAGGCCAAGTGCACAAAATTCTGGATGGTTTAGGAAGTGAAACTCACGGTTGGCAGAGGGAGGCTGGCGGCAGCGTGGCACCATTGCCTGCAAAAACGATCATGCTGTGGGAAGGAGACAGATGGCGGGGCGGCCTCCTGCCAAGTGGGTGCACCCCTGGGACTCCCTTTTCCTCGACGGCAGGGTGGGCACCTGTGTTCCAAGTGACACAGCATTGCTGTCACCGTGACCTCGATGGCAGATCTCCACGGAACCTCATGACCTGGGAATGCTTGCTGACATCGTGCTGAGTTCTTGCCAGGGCCCACTAACCTGGGCACCTCAAAACAGCTAGTTAACTTTGCTGCAGAGAAACCTCCCTCACTGAGACGAAGAGACATGTGTGCATGTCACTTTTATGTACATGCAGAACCAGCCTTAGTGAAGGTAGATCCGTTTAAGCTCCGGATAATTGGAAAGGGTTAGTGTTTGCATGAAGTCAGCCCGCAGTCCAGCCCGCCTGTCTGCTCGATGAGGCTCATCAAGGGGGATGTAGAGAAAACACCCAAGACGAGGTCCCCAACTCCCTGCTGCCAGCTTCCTGCCTTCAAGCATCACCTGACTCAGCTGTGAACTGAGAGTGGGAACCCAGAAGAGGCCTCTCTGTGTCTGTGACCCATGCAGGGCTCGACCTGGAAGCAGGAGAGGCCAGAGTCACGGGCGGAGCCGCTGGTGCTTCCTTGGAGGGCACAGCCCCACCCCCACCGTGTGCACACACATTGCTTCACTCCCACACGGAACCCCCGCTAGATGTCCCCCAGCCCTCCCAGCTCGTCCTCTGGGCCATGGGAAGCGAGCGGCAGTAATGCGGGTGCGCTCCATGGGCGCCCTGCAAAGGCTGTGCTTCCTCCTCTTCCTCTCCAGCTCCCTTCCATTCCTTCCTCACTGCCCCAGCTCCAGCCCTGTGGGCAAGGCCAGCCCCAGGCATGTGGAGCCCAGGATGGGGGGCTGTCAGATTCCCTGGTGACCTCCCGAAGCAGAGCTGCCCTCACCTGGAGCCCAGCTGCCTACCAGCTCAGACTTGCAGGAAAGGAGACTAGTCTCCCGTGTTGGAGCCCTGACCATACGGTCCCCGTTGGTGTGGGAAGCCACCGTCCTAACTCCGGCGTGCCTCGCCTGTGAAACCGAGGTCCGAGCCACCCCTCACTGGCCACTGCCTCCTTGTGTCACTGCAGCTCAGCAGTCCTGGACCCACACTCCAGTTCTCCTGTCTCACCTGGACAGTTGCCTTCCCACCTCTCACTGTCCAGACCCCCCCGGCCCGCCCTCAGCCCAGAGGCCAGGGATGGCACTGTAACCCTTGTCCCGCCAGCCCACTGGACCTGCTGGCACAGCTCTTCCTTCGTTCTCCTCCCCCGAAACCCAACCCGGCTACACCCAGCACGTCACCCAGGCCGTGCACGGTGCTCAGGATCTCCAGGCTGCAGGAAGTTCAAAGCCCATGTTCTCAGTGGAAAAGGATGGGCCCTCTCTTAGTGGCCCCCCAGGATGGCCATCCCACCACCCCTCCCAGGACAAGGATTCCGTGTCACCTCCAGTGTCCTCCAGAATTCCTCCTCCTCCCCATCCACACTCTCAGCCCATGATGTCGGACCTCAGACACAAGCATCAGGTAAGGGCCGCCTCTGCTTCTTGCCAACAGCCCACCTGTGAATCCTCCACTCGCTCTGGCCCTTCTTCATAGTGAGCCAACGGTCTCGTTTCTTCCCGAAAAGTCCTCATGGCTTATGTCTCTGATTCCCCTTTTCCATCAGGCTTATCGATTCCTTCCAACAAAGATTTCTAAGTGGATGTTGGATTTTCCTTATGCTGTCTTGTAAACACACACATATTAGGAGATCACTCACTTTATGGGCAGGTCACCTGTTTAGCCCATTGTTTTTCTCCCCGGGCCTCCTCTGCTTCCCTGGAGTTTGTCTTTCTGGTTTTGAGGGATCTATTGTTAAAACATCTCTATGTTCTTTGATGTATTCTAAACTTACTCAGGTAAAATTTTATCAGTAAATTCTGTCAAGAGCTTTGTATGCTGAAAGAAAAGGCACAGTTCAGAGCAAAAGGACTAGTCTAAGGGAAATTGGCACTGATGAATGGGAACAGCATTGTTAAAACATAGTGAGGACTCTCTAAATTCATCCAGGAAACATCCAGAGGCCTCCATCCATCTGGCTCTTTGATTTATGTCTAATGTTTTTGAATATTTGTATTCTTATCTGAAGGAGAAAGCTTTTGGCGACAGTCCTAAGCTTGCTGTAAACCTAATGCCATACTTTCCTGCTGGGAGATCCCTAATGAGGTTCCTGCTACATCCCCAGCAAATAGCAGAGGCCTGATGACCAATGGGACCCCGCAGGTTTGTGCTGAACAGGTGGGGCAAGATGTCCCAGCCTCTGACCCCAACTGTGTGCATCAGAGTCCTTTTGATGGAGTGGACTGGGTTGGCCGGGATTACGAGGATGGTGGAGAGCAAGGATGGTGTGAGCTCAGGAGCTGGTTTAAAGGTGTGGTTCAGATCTCCCTTGTGTGTCCACTTTGTATGTAACCACGGTGATAGAGAGCGAGGGTTTTTTGAGGGAATTCATGTGAGATCCATGCGCTCTACGCGCAACACATGGGCTAAGCACTCGATAACTCTTGGCTGTTTTTATTTAGGGTGTAAAAGGAGAAACAAATTCACATCCATTATTTATTTAGTCTGTGAAGCAAGACTATGGCAAAACACAAAAGAATGAACTAATATCACATGTATTAATCCTTGTGCATTTTTATTTTAACAACTGAGTTGGGAAAATAGATCTTAATTTAAAAAGTTGTTTTGTTTTCCTCTGCGATGTAAGATACATTTCTCTCTTGCCCAGAAAACTGGCAGTTTTTTTGTTCGTTATTCAATGGGATCCGGGAGTGGGGTCTTTAAAACATCTTAATCTGTAGCCGCCTTATCTTTAACTGAAATGAAAATGAAAGCCTCCTACACTGGTTGCAACTCCTGACCTCCCCATCAGCGTCCACATACTTGCCTGGGCTGAGGCTGGAGCTGGTGCAGCAGGAGGGCTGTGGAGCCCCAGCCTCAGTGGCCATGTGGGCTCCCCAGCTCGTAAATGGGAGTGGGGGCGGTGGGCTGGGAATCAGGAGTCTCCTCCCTGGAGGAAGATGATCTTAATAGGTCCTGGAGGCTGTGGCGGGCAGGAGCATCGTGGCTAAGAACCAGGCATCAGCACTTCCCAGGTGCTCCTCTGGGCTGGAGCGAGGCCAGGGGGAAGCCTGCGGCTTCTCCTGGCTTCTGCTCCACACAGAGGGTTGGCTCAGTGCTGGCCTTGGAACGGACAGCAGGGGGTGCGCCCAGGGCCCCGCTAC